TTGATGTGCACTTACACACCGTCAAGTAGAAGTGTGAATTGAGCTTTATCGAAGACCTAACATATGGTTAGCCACATTGGAAAGTTATATATTTTCTCCAAATAGCAAGCATTCTTGTTTTATTTTCTAGACAAGTGGTTCTCAACCCTGGCCACACATTAGCATTACTTGGGAGATTTAAAAAAAATCGGATGGCAAGATCCTTCACATAGAGTCAGGTTCAGGTTGATCTAAGAAGGGGCCTTACGTAATTCCTCAGTCTCCCATGGGGTTAGTTTCCTCATCCATAAAGGGGTGATGAAAGTATTTCCTATGCCCGAGCATCACCATGAGGGTTAAGTGAGTGCTACATGTGGAGTATTAGAAGTCTGATTTGTAATAACTCTTCAATAAATGGAAGTCATTATGCTATTATAGCGAAACCAAAATAGAGACTCATAGCTCACGGAGAGCAAGAACAGAAAACGGAGTAGACACCAAACAAAGCATGAACAGATGAAAATGCTAGAACAGGCCCGCACTTGCGGGCAAGAGCTCATTTGGGATATCTCTTCTCATCTCCGCATTCAGTGGCATTAGGTTTGAAAATCAGCCATGGTGAGTTTATCTACAGCACAGAAATCACCATATGCTGAAATCAAGGTTTTATTTGTTTTGTTTTTTGCATCCTAGAGATCCAGTTATTCATAAAATCACCACCTGAGAGGATCGAAGCAGCTGACAGGAAGGGCTGGGGTGAAAAACATGGTACACTTGCTGCATGGTTTGGCCTGGGCTTGGACCTGGCCAGGAGTCCTATCTGTCATTCATGGACCCGGGGCCTGGGCTTCGAGTCCCAAGAGGTGGTGGGTGGAGAAGCACCTGGTTTTAAATCGAGAGTCGCCAGAGTGTGATTGAACTCTCAATCAGTTATTAGTTCTTGGGGCCAATTATTTAATCCTGCTCTCAAAACTGTAAGGATTTGAACTCATAGAGACAGAGAGCAGAATGGTGATTGCTACAGGCTGGGAAAGGGGAGATGGGGAGATGGGGAGATGGGGAGAGGTTGGTCAAAGGTACAAACTTTCAGTGATACAGTGCGTAAGGATTCTGAGGCTTTAATGTACAGCATGGTGGCTATAGTTAGTAACACTGTATTGTATACTCGAAATTTGCTAAGAGAGTAGATCTGAAGCATTCTCACCAAAAAAAAAAAAAAAAAAGAAAGAAAGAAAAAGGTGATATAGGAGGTGATAGATGTGTTAACTAACTTGATTGTGGGAATCATGTCATGATACATATGTGTATCAAATTATTACGTTGTAGACTTGAAATATATTACAATTTTATTTTGCCAATTTGTAGGCTTATAGCAGGGGGCATAGGAATCCATAAAATAAACATGGTTACCTAACCTTATTTAAATTCATGTACATTCTTAAAACCCAAGCCCGAGACAATGATGCTGATGATGAAATCCCCCCGGGTCTACTTTCGGTTAGTTTTGGAATGCTCCCGGAGTGTGTTCTCATCCTTTGCCTTTGTTAGGGACTCAGGTGGAAACAGATGAAAAGTCTTCCTGGAGTGTCTCCAGCTTCCACACTGGTCAGAACAGGATGGTTGTCAGAATGAAATGAGATCACGGATTTCAACTGCATAGTGATTGTAGTCAGTGTCTCAGTTTTCAAGAATGTTTGTTGGGTCAGTTGATGACTTGGGAACTTAGAGCTAAGTAAGCATCCTGCCCAGAGTCTGAACTTTGACCTTGTACCTCAGTAGCCATAAGTGCTCCCTAAGACCACTAGTCCTAACAGACTCACCGGAGACGGCGCTAGAGTTCTACTGCCAGGCAACTTATTGTTGCTGATTGCTACATAAATCAGCATTTGTCATTGTTCTCTTTAACCTTTATTTGACTTGCTTTAACAAAAAAGACAAGAGAAACATTTTCTAATAATGATTGAAACATTCGTCACTTATGGAATTACATTGGTTTTGAAAAAAGCAGCTGGCATCATTCTGCTAATTTGCCTTAGATTAAAAATGTGCAACATTGTTATTTTGGATTATTTTCTGTGAATCTATGTATAAAATTATGCATTAAAAATTCAACATCATACTTTAAGTTTCTTAATCACAAAAAAAGCCAAACCACAATTGTAATATTTTAGCAAGAAAAAGAAAAACTCATAGTACTTAGCTATACGGTTAAATTAAACCAGGAATTGACATTTGTACAATTTCTCCTCCTTGGAAGCAGCAGGTATATAAAATTATTGTATATTGTGTTTATGCTTCATGCACTTAAAAATTGACCGGAGACCCACAAAGTAAGTAAGCTCTTTGGAACCCAGACTGCATTGCCAAACTGAGCACCCCTGCGAAACAAATTCTCTTTGTTTGAACGTATGAAAGTTACCAAAAGAGTGAAAGCCAGTTTTACTTTTTTTTGTTTTGGCAGGAGAACCAGCAGTGGAAGAAAAGAGCACTTCCTCTGCAGACACTTTATGGGTTTCGGATTCTGTAACTCTGCCATTGTAACCTGACCCCAAAGCTAATGAAATCCTGTTAGACTTTCCCTGCCCTCCTTCCTGCTTCCATCTTTTTGATTGTCTCACCTTGGAAAACCTCGATTTGTATTTGTATACGTGTGTGACCCTCCTGCCATTGTTTGCCTTTTTACCAGGCACTTTTCACCTACACCTTCTCCTTGCCTCATTTGGCAGTCGGTTTGGCTTCTTCCTGCCTTGAATACCACATTCCCGAGTTATTCAAGCTCAGTCATTAGCACCCTGTCCCCCGACTAAAATTATGAATGAAAAGCCTTGTTGTTCTTTACAAATAACGCAGGCTCCCTCAGTCAGTCAAATTCGAATGGAAGTGACTGCCGGACAAAGGGGTTGGGATGATGGACAGTCCTCACAGCGAGTCATCAATGCCCACAGGAAGTTTTCTGAGCCACAATATAGGTAGAGAGGGTTGGGCGTTTGCGGAGGACAAGCCTAGGGGAGGGGGCTGCGGGGGGTGCTCTTTGTGTCCTTTTGGATCTTAGGGGAAAACAGCCGCGAAGACCAGAGATAACAATGTACAGAGTCAGTTTTGCCCTCGCGAGATCTTTAAAACTCCTTCCATGGAGACATCTACCTTGCAGTCATTTTGGTTGGAACTGACACACGCAGACAAAAGTGAAGGCACCGGACCATTTACTGGGCTGTGAATGCGGAACGGTGCAAGAGTGGGTTACAGACTGGGAGCTGCACGACTCCCTGCTGAGAAGTGGCATTGTCCTGGGCCCCTTTTTCACAACAGGGGGAAAGGTAATTGACAGCCCGATTGTTTGGCCGGGACCCCTGCTGTTTTAAAATCCTGGAAGGCCCCAGTCGCACGTTGTCAATAATAGCCGTCGGAGGTGCGGAGTGAAGGACTGTTCAGGAAACAGTTTGAGCCCTTCAAGTGGACAGGCCTCAGTGACTTTTCTTGCACTCTGGCTGCCACAAGCAGCTCATTCAAAAATAACCTTCAAGTAATAAATCAAACTTGTTTCCTGAACTATACAAGGAACAGCTGGTTATTTTTCCTCACTTTTTTTTTCCCAAAGACGAAAAGAGAAAAAAAAAAAAGAGGAGATGTTTTACTACAGGAAATCAAGCATGTCAAAATTTGGCAAAGCAATTTGGATGATTTAACAGCTAAACACTTCTCTTTTTAATGTTACGCTTTCATCGGTCTTTTTTATTTCGCCTTTTCATTTTTGCATTCAGTTTGCTGCAGTGAGCGTCCCTTATCTGTGTTCTCCTCACTTTTGAAAGGAAAATGAGTTCAGTGTCTTGTCCTTAGAATATTTTTGGTGTCATTTCTAACGTATTGGTCAAGACACTCAACTTATTCTATGGCTAAAATTTGTTTTCTTCCACAGAGAGAGTTTGGATTTAGACCTACAGCCCCATGTATCTGTGTCTCCTGAGATCTATATATTTTGGACTTCTGATGACAAGGCAATTTTTCTTCAGTCTGCTGGTTTAGGAACCCCAAGCTAGTGCATATGTCATAACTGAAGTAGTCTGGTATTTTAAGAAAGTACATTTTGGGCTTTTTTCGGTCTTTTTGCGTCTCTCTTTGTGCCAGACTTTGTGTTTTCTTTGTGTGTCTTTCCCTCCTTGAGTATATTTGCCCTTCAGATTTTGGAAAAATCTGCCAATCTCTGATTGACCTTACCAATAATTAGAAATATAACCGTAAATAAGGAACAATTCCCTTCTGTGATGATTACTGTGCATCTTTGTTTTATAGATGCCTGCTACTGCAAACAGAAATCCATTCTAAATGAAAAACTTTAAGATCCATCCGAGTTTGTATCTTAGAGATTAGCTTTTCACAACTTGTGGACATTTAGAATTTAGAAAAAATATATTTGAAGATCTGTCAGATTTTAATGCACTAGGTCATTATTTTTCAATCAATTTCAATGTAATTAAACAGCCAGTGTTAAGTAGATATTAACATTATGCAAAACACTTATTTTACAGGATATTTTGACCACTGAATTTAATAAATGAAAAACAAAAGACATTGATTATAATTTAGTATTCTATGAGAAATTATAAATTACACTTTGGGGTTTTGTCCTATATGTGTAATACATTTATTTTTCTCCTTTATTTGGTTGAAGGGATTATTCATTTGTGATCAAACATTTGTAATGAAAGGTATGTTTACAGGAAGATAATAATGAAATTCAGTTATAGTAGAACTAGGTCACTATAGGCTTCTTTTCTATTTCTCTCCTTTTCTTTTTCTATTTCTTTTTCTTTGTATTTGTAGTGAGTGACAATGCCATCATAGCACAAATAACTCATCTTTGTGCTACACGATTACACTTACACCCTTTGTATATATACAAATGTCTTAGCTGATATAAGTGTGCATTCAGCAGTGGGAGTGGTTTTCATATAAATGTTTCTTCCATATATGGCTGATGTTCATACTGAACCTGTTTTGATGTAACATTTCTTTACTTTCAGCCTTTAAGCTTCAAGAACCTGTGATACGTGACTGGATGGAATTCCTGGAGAACTGTATTAACATGTTTCACAGAGTTGAATTCTGAGGTTAGTACCCTGTCAGGAAACAGTGTTCCTTGAGAATTTGCAGAGTAATTATACGTATGGTTCATAAATGATTGCACAATATCATACATAAGTGAATTATAACATAAATCTTATATTTAAAATAAGGTTAAGTACCCAGTCTGTCGACGACTCGTTTCTTATTCAGTCTCAGCCTTTTGTTTTGCTCAGAGTCGCTCAGGAATTGATGAGTTAAGTGGACTTGGAACCTTCTGGTGTCCTCCTGCAGCCTCGAAACCCCTCCCCTTGGACCTGTGGACTCTGGCCGCGGCAGGGGCAAGATAGCGAGTGTAGACTGCAAGTGCTCTGTGCGGACTTGCTTTCTGGCCTCCTGCTTGGCTGCCAGTCTCACAGCTTGCCCCGAGAATGGACTTCCTGTCCTGTCATTTACACTCAGTATCACACTAAGCGCTCTTTGTCACTCAGGCTTTGAGACAGAAGGGGGCGAGATAACAAATCTAGACTGCTTGTGTTGACTTTGTGGATAAAGTAAAGGGCTGGAGTCAGGAACCCTGGGTCTTATCCTCAGTTTGCAACTGCCTTTCCTGTGACATTGAGCCAGGCTTTCGACCTCTCCCTTCCTCAGTTTTCCTCATCTATCAAATGAGGATCAGTATGTGGTGTTCTCTTATTTTTATCAGGAGGGTGTGGTTATTGAAAGATTTGCTGAATGCTTAAAGCCCTTAGCAAAAGGAGAAAAGGAATCAGATAAAATGACTTTTTCCTCCTTTTTAAGGGGGAGATAGAAAAGAAACCACAGCTGGTTAATTACTCCCCACTCCCAGAAATAATTCATCCTATTATCCTGCAGGGAATTTTCCCTCCTACCCTGGTCAGTTTTTCCCTCAACCTTTTCTTTTGCTCTTTTCCTCTCTCTCTCTGTTTTCTGTCTGTCTCCTTCTCCCTTTCTCTCTAAGCCTGCAATGTTTCTTTTGTAGCAACGAGCTGTGACATCAGGGTGGGTGAAATTAGCAAAGAGGGGCACCTCTAAAAGGCTTTGTCCAGTGTGGGTAAGCAGAGGCACTGAGGAAACAGGAAGGGCATTCTGAGTGACTAGATGGGGAGTGACAGAAAGGGCTATGAGAACTTCTGCAAATTTATTGGGCTCAGAAAGGCAAACCTTCAGAGACAGCTACCAGCTGTAAAGATGGGTCTCTTGGGCCCTGCAACCATTTATTTAGAGGCTCTCTTTGTGAAGTGATGGGGTTGGCAAAGAGTTGGAACCTATAGTGAAATTCAGGGATTCTCTCACTGGGGTAGGATGGAGGACTTCTGGCCACAGTTATGGCTATATCCTTTTCCCTTTTCTCTTAAATTATGCAACTGAATAGTGTGTAGCTTTGAGTGGAAAGGGACTTCACCCCCTACTTCAATTAGGATATGTGAAATATCAGGAATTTAAAAGAGTGCACTTTTATACATTTCATTTTTAAAAAGCCTTTAGTGGTGGAGTTTTATTGCCATTGTTTTCATTTTGTCTTGTGAAGAAATTGGTATTATGTAGTACAAACCAGGTCGTAATTCACCTAGTATTCCTCATGGCACTTTAAGAAGGGCGTTGTATGTTCCAGATTGCTTATTTTATTTTCCAGATTTATACACTCATTCATAGGTGTTTAGATTCTTTCATCCAAAAGGCAGCAATATCATTTGGTGGTGTATGCTTTTTTTCCCTTTAATTTTAAAAAACTTTTATTGAAGTATAGTCAGTTTACAATGTTGTGTCAATTTCTGGTGGACAGCACAATACTTCAGTCATATAGGAACATGCATATATTCGTTTTCATATTCTTTGTCACCATGAGTTACTACAGGATATTGAATATAGTTCCCAGGGCTATAGAGTATAAACTTATTGTTTCGTGCTGTATGCTTTTGATCTTCTGTACATACATGGTTTTAATATGGTCCAACATTGTGTTTATTTGATTTTTCTTATTGAATCCACTGTACATTTATGGCTGTTTCATGCTATTTTGCTACCTTAGGTAGGCTTTTTTAGTATGATTCCATAAAAAAAGCAAGTAAAAAGCTACTACATGGGGGAATATATATATTATACATATGATATATATAAACATATAATATGCTAAAAATGTAATACATAAATATATACATTTTACTTGTTTTAATAAGGAGGATATAAAAAGATACACACACACCTGTTTATAATACACAGGATCTGAAGGAGAGGCGGGAGATTACTAACTTTTTAAACTTTCTTTCTGATTTGTTTCACTTTGTGCAACAAATATGTATTATTTTCTTAATTAAAATATTAATAAAGAAAAAGTTTCAATACTGATTTAAACACTTAAAGAGAAAATTTAGCAGTCATCAATAATATTTGTATTTTACAATTTTTTTTAATTAAGTTATAGTCAGCTTACAATGTTGAGTCAATTTCTGGTGTACAGCACAATTCTTCAGTCATACATAAATATACACATATTCATTTTCATATTCTTTTTCACTGTGAGTGACTATAAGATATTGAATGTATTTCTCTGTGCTATACAGTATAAACTTGTTTATCTGTTTTATATATACTTGTCAGTATCTGCAAATCTCGAACTCCCAGTTTATCCCTTCCCACCCTCCCGTATTTTACAAGGTTTTTGCCAATCTTGATAAAATGTCTAAAGATCCGTAAACACTGTCCCTTTTGTTTTTAGAGCACGCATACTAAAAAGCAATGGTTGGTGCTCCCTCTGCTGGTCTGCCTGCAAGAATTTGCTGGCCAGTTTGGGAGGATGAAAAAGACAGCCAGGAAAATTACAAAAGATCCTTTGATCTTTAAACACCTTTTCCACGTACAGGTTTTATCCTTGATTGGCAGCAATTGTCAGTGCAGTTTGTGAAAATGTGTTATTTTTTAACATTTAGTAGTGATGCTAAAGTTGGGCTAGATAATTATAATCTTTTTTAAAAATGAATTTCTCCTTTTTCATATCATAAAGTAGGATATAAAACACAACTATTCTTAATTTATTGGGAATTTTTGAGTGAGGATTAATCTTACAAAACTCACTCCCGGTAATGGGATCTCGTAGTCAGTTGGCTATTTGAGTATCTTCACACTAGTCAGCAAACCTGATGGAGGAGTGACTGTCACTGGACAATTACATTTTCAAAATTAAATCTTTTGTTATATCATTCCTGAAATCTATACATTCCTATATAGAAGATTCTTGGGAATTTCTTACTTTTGTTAATATTGATATGCAAACTACAGGTAAAGATTCTTAGAATTCATTGAATTCATCAGCTTTATTTTTTCCCCCTGGGAATCCTGACTTTCTTGGATCAGAGTATGTTGAGCCATATATACTATTCCTTTATCAAATACTTGTATTAATTCATTCCTAAATCTTTATCATACTCTGTATTATATGTAATACGGTATTCTGTGTCTGTGTCTTAATGGTGTTTAATGTGATGATTCTGCTTGTACATATTCAATTCCTTCTACTAGTTTTTGCCTTTAGGTAAAAGTCAGTTATAGTATTATCTGACAGAATATATGGCACTATTTTTCTTAGGGATATATATATATATATGCATTTAATAGGAAGCTCTAGAGAATCAATAAGCTTTCAGAGAAAGCATTTTCAATGGTAGGTTTCAGGGAGAGAGCTTTTGCAGTAAGATGAAGTAAGATCTGGAGAAGGGTCACCTCTGGAAAATGGACAGGCCCATGGGAATGGAGTGGAGAATGAAGAGGGCTGCAGGCAACAGGCGGGAAAGAACAGGGGAGATGCTGTTCAGCACGGGAGAACCGGAGTTGTAGTTCCTGGGTAAAGAACTACTCTCCTCTCAAAAAGTCATCTTTGTGAGGGGTGCTCAGGGAAGCCAGACCTCATAAATCAACCTTAATCACCATTGATGAGCCAGATACCATAGTTAGACCCTCCTAACACTCTGGAAAACACTGGGTAGGCATTGAGGCAAGTGACAACATTAGGGACTGGCAGTTTCAAGTAGCAGAGATCCAGTCACAGCTCCTGGAGTTTGGGCATGGGATTTCTCGGCTCTGGAAAGAGTGGGCAGAGTGATGAGTGTTGGGCATA